AGACAGCATTAATGGTCTTTCCTCTTTCTAGGTAGTCAATAAAGATGATGCCTTTAGCATCCCAAAAAACCGAGGCCATCACTTTACCCGCTGATGGAACTGTCTTTGCCTTCTTTGGTGGTGGCGAACTGTGGTGTTTCCATTGCTTTGACTGTTCTTTTGTTTCAGGAGTGTAGTAATGAATCCACGTTTTGTCAGTAGTCACAAACCGACGCAAGAAATCCCGTGGGTTTTTCTTGTAGAAGTCCAAACACTTCTTTGACATTAAAGTGCGAACACATCTTTGCTCAGCAGTCAGCAGACGCGGCACCCAACTCGCTGAGACCTTCATCATACCCAAATTTTCGGTTAGATGTGGTGCACTCGGTTGACAGAGATGCCTGTTGTCTCAGCTATCTCACGCGTTTTCAAACAGCAATCTGCTAACACCAAATTGTAAACTTGTCGATATTTTTTTTCAGTGACAGCAGTTGATGGCCATCTGCTGCTAGGACCATCTTCCACTCTCTCTCTGCCAGATTTAAAAAACGATGTCTATTTTTTCACAGTGGTGTACGAAGGAGCAGACTCTCCCAAAACTTCATCCATGTCAGCTTTGATTTGAGATAGTGTCAACCCTTCTTTCGTCAGGTATTTTATGACTGCACAAGTCTCTGTCTTCTCCACTTTTGACAAAGCATGTGCACACTGACTATCTGCTAAGCTGTTGTGGCAAAACTTTACGACAAATCAAGCGGAAATTGGTATTGTATCGTTAGGCTGAATTATTCACGCCAAAAATTAAATTGATCGCAACGCTGCATATAGGCAAGGCCGCAAACTTTCCGAACAGCCCTCGTATAGTTAATCTTACCAGAAAGCAATTTAGTAAGTCTATAAAACATGAGACAAATATATAAATGTAGTGTAAAAAATCAGATATCTTTTGGCTGAACCAAATGTGTGTTTGTATCTCTTTTTCCTCAAAATTTTTCTAATTCATTAGGAAATTAAACAATATTTTCCTTTGAAATTTAATTTTATATTATAATGTCACTTACTTTTTTTAATATGCAGTCTGTGTAGTAGTAGTTGTAGAAACAACTCTTTCACCCTGAGCTATATCACCACGTCTCCAAGCTTTATATTTTAAAAATGCATCAACTCCATATATAACCATAGCAATAAATCCAAATACCTAATAATTATAAAAAAATAAATTTGTTTTCAAAGAAGACAATTACATAGCTGTTGACAAATATTAACACAAGAGACAAGAATAAATTAGGGAAGACAGAAAAAGAGTTAACATTTTAGGAAAAGATCTGGAATTTGAATGTGAAGACAAGACAGGATTTCACTGACGTCAAGAACACACCTATGAAAGATACAAGAAGATTTAGGATTTATTATTATGAAAGCAGAAAAAGTTTTATAAACAGAAACAATTTAATAAAGTTATAAAAATGTTATTTATGTAAGCATGATACAAAACACTCTAATTATAACAAAAATTTATGTTATAATCATTGTCGTAAACAGGCATACTTTTGTATTAATTCTTCACTTTAAAATTTAATCTAGTTATGTAAGTAATTTAAATTAATATGTGGAAATGAACAAACTAAGTAAAATTAATTATGATTTGAATTTATATAGAATTACTTAAGACCTGTTGAGTTAACTAATATGTCTTAAGTAATTCTGTATAAATTCAAGAGAACCTGTAAAGAAATTTAATGCATTTCTAAGAATATAAATATATGATATATGAAGTACCTTTTTATATTTGACATTATCAAATATATCAGGATGTTACAAAAGTGCTGTCAAATTTTTTGTGTGTTACTTTTAAATTACTTTTTAGCATGACTATGGTGGCACATGTAGACAAGTTATGTCTTTTTTATTTAGTAAAGGTTCTGTACGTATTACACAACATTTATCTTTTCAAAAATTTAATATAACTTTCTGTTTTGGGGTTTTGAGTGAGGCATGACATAGATAGATATGAAAGTTTTTCATGCAATCCCAATCCACGAGTTCAAACTTGGCCAGAAAGCAAGCAAGGCATCTTGTAACATTAATAAAGCATGGGGTAACAAAACTGCTAATGAACACATGGTACAATGTTGGTTTGAAAAGTTTCAATCTGGTGATATGAGCCTTGATGATAAAGACATCTGTCCAATTGAGATAATGACCAACTAAAAGCTTCAGTTGAAGCCAATCCATGAAAAACCATATGAGAAATTTCAAAAGAGCTTAACATAAGCATTGCAACACTTTCTCAACATCTAAACCAGGGTTAGCCAAAACAGTCGATATATTACTGGGTAGGTTGATTGAAAAATCAAAACTAAAAATCACAAATATAACTATATATGTGAAAGGCTGGACTTGAAAGGAAAATTTTATTCAAAAAATTTAAAAAAAAAAAATAAAAAAAATAAAAAAAAAAAGATCGCTACGGATATGATTATATCCTTTCCCATGGACTTGCTTCCTTGTTTGGGAGTGACACATCGAATGTGTCACTAGGAATCAAATGCGAAAATCACCATTGGACATGAACAATTTTACCAAAAAAAGGACAAGAATTGAGAGGGGGAGAACCCCCAAATAAAGGAGAAGGTCTGATGACGTGACATGAAAGTTTGCCTGACAGAAGAGTTCATCTGTCCTCGAAGGTTGGTCGTGTGTGTACAATGGGATACACTTTGCCACCTATGCTCCTCCAATAGCCAGCGATCCGAAGCTTAACCGCTGATAGCCAATGACTCCAAGTACCCACCAAGGACATGTCTCCACCGAAAAAGGACCCAAATCAAGAAAGCGATCTTCAGGTAACATTGGTAAACTCTCTCTTGCTTAATGTAAGCATATGTGTAACTAGTTTAGGCCTATATAATCAATAAACGGCTATTATTTTCTATAATCGAATTGTAAAGTGCACTTTTTTAGCCCAATTAGTCTCCATCCTGAATCCAACTGCTCACAGACATGACTGCTCGCATGTAAATGCGAATGTAACGGTCTCTGTGTCTACCCAGAAGACACAGTGGTGTCAATCCTGACAAATTACTCATTGCAGTCTTTGCCAACGTGATGTTGACGTCTTCGGTCCTGTGGTGCCGAAGCATGGGGGGCACTTCACGCATTGTTACATACATATTATTATGTTTTTGAATATTGTTTCAATGAATTAATAGTACAGCTATCTGTCAACGTGTAAAATGGCTACAAATCAAGTCGCACAGGACTAATGGAAATTGCCAAGTCTGTTCTCCGGTTCTTACATAGTAAATGTTAATCATCTGCAGCATTCGTAAGCTTGTGTCTGATTCGCAGTATGCTGACATTATTAGACCTCTACAGCCATTTTTAAGCTGCTGTTCATTTAATTTTAGTTTTTCACATATATACAATAAATGTAAAAAATGTAAAATTAAAAGAAATGTATTAAAATTTGCTTGTAACAAACTTTTTGGTAAAGTCGATTGAGGTTTCGAAAAGTTGTAAGGGGTCAACAATCAAAAAAGTTTAGCAACCCCTGATCTAGACACAATGGGCAAGGCAAGAAAGCTTGCTACCCCATAAACTTAATGAAAGAGAACAAAGTATTCGTTTGGAGTTCTGCTCATCTCTAATCATACGCAATAAGAATGATCCATTTCTCAGTCAAATCATAACATTGATGAAAAATGGATTTGATATGATATGACAACTGCAAGCAAGCAGCACAGTGGTGTGACAGAGAAAAAGCACCAAAGCAATGCCAAAGCCCAGACTCCAAAGATGATCATGGTGATTGTCTGGTGGTCTGCAGCTGGTGTTATTCACTATAATTTCCTTAAACCTGGCAAAACCCTTACAGGAGAAAAGTACTGTCATGAATTGGATGTTGTCCACTGGAAGTTATATCTAATACAGCCAGCATTAGTAAATCAAAAACACCCCATCTTACTTCACAATAATGCTTGTCCTTCTGTCACAAGTCACCCCCAGAAACTAAACTAATTAGACTATGAAGTTCTCCCTAATCCATCCTATTCACTAGACCACAGATTATCATCTATTCAAAGCATCTTGTCGGTTTCTTCCAAAAGAAAACATTCTCCAACCAAGCAGAGATAGAAACCACCTTCAAGCAGTTAGAGTCAAGAACTCAAAATATTTTCAACATGGTATAAACACACTTGTAACTCAACAGCTGAAATGTATATTGCCTGTAATAGAGGTTATTTTGATTAAATAATCTTATTTTTAGCAATGATATGATGTCTCAAAGTGACAGTTCAAAAACAGAGAGAACTTTTGTAACAACCCAATAGCTTATGTGTCTAATTTTTTGATTGATCATGTTATAAAATGAGTTATCTAGGTAGGGAAATTTTTCCAGGTAGCATTGTTTATTGTTTACTATAATCATTATATTAAAAACTGCATTATTTTCTGCTTGATCTGGCAGATCCAAAATCAATTTGACATTTACTTTTTTACTTATATTATAATATCATATGTCACACACCTTCAATTGTCATATATCATCAGGCTATGATACACAACAATTGAAGGTGTGTTATTGCAATATATTGGGTGTTGTTAAGTTGTTTATATTTACATTTATACAGTTGAAACTAAAAGCTATGTCATATATATTATACTGAAAAGAAATCAATATTTTTAAAAATCTTTAAGAACACATATTGATTTCATCAAAATATTAAAAAGTTTTTTAAAACAGCCAAGATATATTTAAATGAATGTCCAGAAAATCCTTAAGTACTCAATTTTGCATTATTTATAATAAAGCAGCAAATACAGTAAGACCCCACGTTAAGCGGGGTCTTACTGTATTTGCTGCTTGTTCCTAGACAACAAAGTGCTAAACAAAACAACATTAAACAAGGTCATTTTAACATAGAGTAATAGGGATAGGGAAACATGAAACCGAAAATAAAAAAAATTTACTTTAAGTAATTTTTATATTAATTTGTATAATAATATATGTTAAATAACACATAAACATATGCACACAGAAATATATAATAATATATTAATTAGTATTTAATTTTTCCTTCGAGTAATTTAAAGCTTTGACAGTTGCAACAGTTACTTTTCCCAAAATGCTTTCTGGTATCCTAAGCTTTTGCCTCTCATGAATAAATTTGTAAAATGTATCCAAAAAAGTAAATTTATCAAATTAATTAGTTCATTTTTTTCTATATTAATAGTTCATATTTGTGACGAAGATCCTGCCTTTTCTGAAATTCTTGTTTTTTTGCAATAAAGTCATGAAGTTTCATTTGTCACTTTTTTCTTTCCTTAAGCAAATGTCAGTAGTAGAAAATCACATCCAAAATGCCTCGCTTTGCTTTTGCACTCCTTTCAAAATCTAGATCATTCACTATAATCTGATCAATGATTTCAGTTATTGTTACCAAACTTTTACTAAGGAAATCTGTAGAGAATTTTTTTTTGGGTTCTTCATTTTCAGAATCTCTATTTTCCAGTTCTACATGGATTCTTTGATCTGCCAGTTCTTGAAGGTCGTCGTTGATAAGACTTTCACTGAAACATGCGGTAACTCAATATCCTGTTCGTAGTCCTGCTGTATTGATTAGGTTGAGTTTGATCAACCTAATGATACACCGATAGGCTCTTCTCATTGAGTATTCTTGGATACCTTCAGTCATAATTTCTTCCACACTTCGTTCGTGCATTTATCAGTTAATTCTTGCCAAGCGAAGCCGATATTGCTATGGCATCCGTAATGTTATATTTTTTCCAAAATTGCACTTAGCAAACATAGATTTAAAGAAACTACACCTTTTTGCCACCTTTTTCTGATTGGTTCATGTTCGTAAATAATTGTATTATATATGAATCAATAAAATGCCACAATAATGAGCTTTTTTTTTAGGCTTTGCACAGATGGCGTTATATCGAATCAGCGTTAAGCAAGGCAGTATTAAGCAGGGTCTTACTGTATATAAAATTAAAATTTTATTTTATTTTTCCATTAATCAATTCTCAAAAATAATACTAATAAACCAAAAATAATTTAAATAATTCAAGAAAATTTTATCATATCTCTTCTAAATATAACTGTTCTATTCACAATGTTATCAACAGTTTATAAAATAAGATAAAATTCTTACTTCAAAAAACATTTTTAGATTAAATTAATCTTTTATATTGTTATTTTAAAAATTTAAATATATTTAAGATTTCTTTAATTTGTATTATAAATTTTTCTTAAATTAATGTTGTTTTTTTTTCCCCAATTTCAAAATAGCTTTATAATATGATACTTTAATATTTGATTTTCCTGTTTCTTGATTTATGGATTAAGTTAAAATAATTAACGACAAAAGGGATAATTATATTCTGATGTAATAATTAAAAATATCTTGTTCATAAATATTAGAGGATAAGTTTTGTTTCTTTAAACGAGCATAAATTTTTTAGATTTGAAATAAAAATAAAAATTAAATTTTATGAAACTTACAGCAGCTGCAGCATATGCATCATCACCAGAAGCTTTAGCAGCAACAACAATAGCTGCTATACAGTAAAAGAGTGTCCAAATAGCACAATATACAAATTCCTAAAAAGATACATATATAGGTGTTTGTAAAATTGTTAAAATTAGAATATAAATCTAATATTTATAAATAAAATATTTATTCAATCTTAGGTAAATCTTAATTTTTATTTTAAACTTTGACTGCCAAATTATATTGAGCTATATTACTTTACTATTGTTGGGTATTAATCTAAAAATCTGATTAATTGATGTTTATATATGCATCTATTCATTATTATTAATTCAAGCATATTTTATTCAAATTTTGAAGAATGATATACTCTAATTACATTTTCTGCATCAGTATTTCTCAACACCAATTTATAAATAGCTTTCAATAGTTTAAAAAAATTACAACCTAAAATAAATCATAAGAAAAAATAAATGAAAATGAAAATAAGCATTTTAAAACAACACATTTGTTTTTGAATTGTCAATAATGAGAAAACAAATAGATTAGCTATAAGTTTCACTCTACACCTTGCAGTTACTTCTTTAGCTTCAAAAAATTATTGAATGAGAAACAATACTCACCTGAAGTATCTTTGTTAGTACAGTACATAGTATCATGTTAGTACAGTACATAGGGCATCAAGATGAGGGAGCTAGAGAAAACTTAGGGACCCATAATAGAGAAGTATTCTACATATTTCAATTAAAAAAGTTCCATTGTACCCCTTGGCCCCTTATAAAGCTTCTAATGACCATGATAGTACTAATGCAAACTAATTATTATTGAAAGTTTAAATTAGTGAAAAGTTTAGATATGAAGGGTTATAATGAAAGTCAAACAGGACTACAGATAATTATTTAAATTCATTTCTTCCTAAAATTTTAAATGAAACTGTATTTGTAAAAATTAAATTATTATTAAAGCTCCAAGAGGAACTTAGTATAATATATTCAAAACATTTTTATACATTTGGTACATACATTTTATATTAAAATGTATAGAACCTGTTAATTTATAAATTTGACATGTTTTTAAAATATAATCTATAATTATTTCATTTTGGTGGGAACATTTAGCAAAATTGGCTGAGATTGGTGAGTGCAATATAGTTATCATATGTGTTGTGTTATCATATGTGTCATAGTTATCATATGTGATTTATTTTATTTTTGATTTTGATATTTAGTTTATCTTATTTATTTTGATGAATAAAGGATCAAGGATCAATATCTGGCCAATGACACAGTTTGAATTGAGAATTAGTTCTATATCATTTATAGATATCACTATTGTGTCTGGTAAAATGGATATTTAATGTTTTTCTATCAAAAATGAAATTAAATATTTTCTATCTTAATATAATTCTACCATACACAACATAATTTCATATAATATAACTCAAGATAATGTATTTTATTTCATCAATGAAAACAACAGAAATACAAGTACAAACAGTTTAGAGCAGTGATGGGCAAACTTTTTAAAGAGCGGGCCAAAGGAAAACAAGAAAACTTTAGGCGGGCCAATATAATTGTAACCTAGCTTTGCATCTGAAAATCCAGGTGGCGCTATAAAAACATGTGCAGGCCGTCCGCCATATTTTTATTTCTCTCTTTCGGCTACGCTACACACGACGAGTGGATGTTCTGTACCGAAGCATGCTTGTAACCGATCGAGCTTTTACTCAATAAGTGTAAAACAAAATTTTGTACATGATTGTAAATAAACTTTCATGGTGAGATATAAAGCTTTGGTTATTTTGTATAATCAACGAACACTCAAGTTAAGTGGTGCATCAACCACCACAGCCTGTATTCTTTTTTACTCGTCAGATTAGGAATAATGTTGCGCGGGCCGGATAGAACATTTTAGGGGGCCGCATCTGGCCCGCGGGCCGTAGTTTGCCCATCACTGGTTTAGAGAATAAAATCAGAGAAAAGAAATGTTAATCAAGTGAAGAATCATTAAAATCATTAACTAAATTGCTTATTAGAAGTGGATTTGTTCAAATTAAATATTCTCAAACATTTAAAGAATGAATACTTGTTTAATTACAATGAAACATAACAGCATTCTTTGTAATGGTATAATTCAAATACAGGTATCATATATAACACAGTAGTTATGTTCTGAAAAAGTGTAGTGTTATGTGAATCTGTGCTATACAAAACAAAAGACTAATGATAAACATGGGATTTGTTCCAGAAGTTAGCAAAGTATACTATTCTTTTTCATTATTAAAAGAAATATGTTTATTAAGCAATCAATAATTTATTTTCAATCAATAATTAATTAACAATCACAATTAAACATATTGTATTACACGTTAATATTAATTTTCGTTAAACCAGGACTTTTCTGTTTACAAAATATCATTGTCATCTCGTCTTTTTTGTTAATCTTGATCAGAAGTATTGGCAACATTTTCATATTTTTTAGTTTTTATCATAAAACATTATGGATGATGAAATAAAATTATGTGACTAATTGAAAATTTATTCTAGCAGATCATGTTTGTTTGGTTGAGTAGCAATCGACATTTTCCAGAATTTGTGTTCAAATACCAAATAGTTTGAGTACCGAGATACTGCCATATTTTGTTTGTCATTTTACAAATAATTGCTTATCTGCAGTTAAAAAAGTTTACTATCTAAAAATGTTTAAATAAACATTAATAAATACAAAGATTAATCTATATAAAAAAAAAAACATAGTGTCATTCTTAGAGGCTAAAACTGAAAGCAATGACAACACCTAATTGATAGGAAAGTTAGAATAAGGAAGAAAAAAATTGCACTATCAGTTTTCATTAAAGTAAACCTGATAAAAAGCACAAAATAATTTGAAAATTTCAACATTCTAAAATCCATGGACAAACTTGAGACAATGCATGGTTACTTGAATAAAAAAAAAATATTGAGTAATGAGGTTTTCACTTAAAAGTTGTAAAATTTTGTATGGAGGATTTCCAAAACCATGTTTGAGTGAAACCATGTTGTAGTACTGTGTTATACAAGGGATACCTGTATATAAAGTTATTTAAATTGTTATATTAAAAAAAGTGAAAAAGATAAGGCTTTATAATATTTTTCATTGATTTTATGAATGTTCTCAATAAATACTACAGTAGTCCATAACAAAAACTCAAAGAAGTTTATCTTCAGAAAAATATGAAAATGCATCTTTTATTGTTAAAATTTAATTTTATCAATATACAGGGTAAGCCAAAAGTCCCCAAATTCTGATTTCAAAAAATTGCAGTAGATTTTTTAATACAAATGACAAAGTTTACATATCATACCCATGTTTCTTGATTCCTTAGGCTTTGAAAACACTAACAAAGATGATGATGGAAGTATCTATCATGTTCCTGTAATCACAAACACATACAGTAATACATGTTTGTAGCCATGCATCTTAGCAAGACTGAGGAAATGTTATTGATGGTAGCAACAATATGCCTTTTCAAGTACTGCAGGTCTCTTGGATTATCCTTGTATGCATATTTCTTTAGATCAGCGATTCCCAACTGGTGATGTTCTTCTATTTTTTAGGAGTGCAAGAGAAATTCATAAAGGATATGTGAATTGGAGATGGTCCAATATGAGATATTCTGTGAATTCACAAATCCACCTAAATAAAACCACACTTCATCAATAAAAAAATGTGTTTGTTGAGTATTTCCATGTCTGCACAAGAAGAGACGTCTGGTGAGGTTTGATATTTGTCTTTTGCTGAGCTAATTTAAATGCTTAGGGATTTAATAGGGATGCTTAATTTTTATCATCTTTATATGTCCTCAGAGATGTGAGGATAATGATAATTTTAGAAATTCATAGCACATGCTAACATCATCTACATAAAAAAATATTAAAATCAGAGTTTGAAAATTTGGCTCAGCCTTTATTTACTTGAGATAGAAAATTTTTTGAATTTAGAAATTCTATTCCCAAAAGATTTAAGTTTTTTATTATAATAAAGAGATGACTTATAACTATAGAATTATTAGCATAATTACATTTTATAGGCTAAACAAATAAATAAAAAAAATAACACCAACAGCTTTGTATTGAATGAATTTATTTAATTAAATATAATAATAATTATTATTAATATACAAAAAAACCAATTACACTTACACCCAGAATCCAAGGAATGAAATGAATCTTTTCAATGATATGGAATAGATACATTACTAAGAGGATAAGTGTTACCCAAAATGCTGTCATTGAAACAAATCCATACCAATTTGCCGATGAAGATTCATTATATCGTGAAGAACGGCTGCATATGAATCCTAATAAACTTATCAGCTAAAAACAAGATATAACTTTAATAAATCAATGTTATATGAAAATATATTATACTAAAAAAACAACAATCATTATTATGTAGCATGTTCCATAATTTTCAGCATTAGAAAATGATTAAATTTTTGTTAGAGTAAAACCTGTGTAAATTGGAATCACATGATACTGAATATTTTTTTTGGTTTGGCAGAAATTTGTTTAGAACGGGTTCTTTTTTAACATAGAAAATCACCCATTCCGAAGAATTTTTTCATTTAGGAAGGTTTCCTTTTTATTCAAGTTCCATTTTAGTCAGGTTTCACTGTACTAAGAAAAATTTAATCATTTTCTAGCTCAAGTAAAAATAAAACATTAAATATTTATTATTTACTTTTGTAATATTGAATGTTTTGATTATTATTATTTTTTACATTAAATTTCTCATGTGTATAATTAAATAATCCTTGCTATAATTTAGACAAATTATAATAACTTTATAAGTTATATAGAGAGGACTTTGTGAATTGTGTGAAAGAATTAAAAATTACACTGTAATCTGCCAAACAATACCATAATGCATCAGGATATTTTTGGTCATGTTATTAATTAAATTTGAATAATTTAACTAGAGGTAGACATTAGGCGCATCTCTTATTATGCATTATGGTATCAGTTAGCATTAACTAATAATGTTGGTTATTGAGATGTTTATACATGCAATAATATATATGCAAATATTACTTACACACTCTCCACACTTTAACCATCCTGGCAATTTGAGAACATAACTGTGATCAAATCGAATCACGGGAGTAACTTTGGTTGTTGTAGCAGTTGTCGTCGTAGTTGTATGAGTGCCAGGAAATCCTTGATTTGACATTTTGATCTCTGAAAAACAATATTTTATCATATGAACATAATAAATTTTATTTTAAATAATAATACATAGCTATTAAAATAATTTTACTCGAGAAACAGTAATTAAGCAGTAATATATGCAAACAATGAATAGGGTAAATAGAAAGGTACTTATTTGATGGCTATTGGAGATTTGAATTCTGCACTAAAACTGAATATAATTTTTAAGTATTTCTTTGATATTTTAATTAAATACAGTGCCAAGTCACATATTTTCAAAACTAATACATAGAAGGAAAAAAAACACCTTTATAAGGTGTTAAATACAATTACTTTCATTAATTTTATAAATATCATCCTCACAAATCATCTTTATACAAAAATGAGAACAGAATATATATCTTTTCAATAATAATGATGTTATTTATGGAAAATGAAATATTTAAATTGAGTTCTTTAATGATTACATTTTAAGTTCTTAAACAATATTTTCTTTTTCTTTGTGCTTGCATTGGCATTCTAAATATTTTATATAAAAAATATAGTGTTATTACAAAGTATCTCTCTTTATTAAAAAAACTTTTGCGTTAGAATTAATATACTTAATGAGTTTGAATTAATGTTTTATCCTTTAGATATAATCTCCTATCTGGAGGTTAAGAATAGTCAATGATTCAAGAAAATTATTTCTTATATTACTAGAAGTCATTTCCTCTATGATCTTTCTTAACAATCAATTTCTACGTATACCATTATCCTTTAGTAAACAATCAAAACAGGAAATTATATTTTCCACAGCTGACTTTAATGGGTCAGATAGTATATTCATTATCTTACCAACCTCTTTCAAATCTGTGTGACGGGAAATCCCTACGAACAGGAAGTTTAAGATAGCTCCACAACTGAAAATTTGCTGGAATCAGACAAAATTATTTTGTTAATTAACAATTTAGAAAATGGAAATTGATGATACAATCCACAGTAAAATTTTTTCATATAAGCTGCATAATTCTATTATTTTATAATGAATTTAATAACAAAAAATATCTCTCTAAGCAACATTCTGCAGTGTAAATGCAAATACAAATTAATTTTTGAATAATTTAGTTTCTTATAACAAGAACTTGAATTTATTTTTATTCTTTAGAAACTTATAAATTTATTAAATATGGCCAAAAAAACAGTACAATTTATACTGTTTATGTTATAGTTATTCTGAATATTAATTTGCTATTCCTGGCAAAAACAAATAGGATTTTATCAACTTTAATGTAAAAATTAAATATATTGTATACAAATATTTTTAAATTACAATATTAAAATTATTAATAAATACCATAACTTATTTACAAACATTGAAAATAATCACAAGTTCAATTAATTATAAACTAAATATATGGAATAATATATACATATATCTTTCCATATATATAATAAACTTATCTAGCAAGCATATTTGGATAAATCTTCAAATTCACAATTTTGAAATTGCCTTTCTTCTATTATTAGATGATATAGAATTATTATTTAGTTAGATACAAATGTATATTCATGACAAAAACATAAACAACAAATATAAACTCAAAATATGTTATAATTAGTAAAACTGTTTACTCTGAAAGCATTATAAGAGAATGTTAATAGTAATATCATGTTGCTATTAACATTCTCTTATAATGTATCTGTAATAATTGAACTTGTAATTATATATAATGAAACTCTCAACATTTACTCTTAAGCATGTCTTAGATCAATGACCAACTCAAGGACAGTGAGTTACAAAGTACAGTAATATATCAGTCAAGGCTAAATATATAACAACATAATAGAATCAAAATTAGTTGTCATTTATCCATCAAAATTGATGAAATTACTTAAAATGTCTATAATTGTTAATTTTATTATTAAAGTTTTATTGCTTATTGTAAATGTAAAGCTTATTCTTAAATAAATGATTTAAATTCCTGTTATATGTGATTAAGTTTAATCTTAAAATGAATTATTATAACAAGAAAAGGATTGTGAGCTCATCTCTTCGGATTTAATTTGGAATTTTCATACCATAATACAATAATTGTATAAAATAATTAAATTTATAAATCTGAAATTATTATACAAATTTTGTTTCCTAAAAACATTTTAAGAAATTCTTTGAATTTGAAAAATTTTTTAAAACACTACAAAAATGTTGTAATGAATATTGAAATGTCAATAATTACAGATTATCAATTTTTGACTTTAACTAAAGTAAAAACTTAATTTTTAACAAATTAAGTTATTCTGAACTCAATGTAAAAATATCTGAAGCTGGGGGAATAATCTCGAGAAATGTTTCTTGTATAACAAAAGTGGACTCCTTGATTAATGTATTGTTAATTTTTGTTTGTATTGAGCCAGAACTAGCACTAGAGTTTATGCTGCCTGGGGCAAGACATGCATTTGATACCCCTTATCCCCCTTCTTCTTCATTATTATTTATTGGCACAAAAATGTGCTACCTGGCTCCACTAGGCACTACCAGGATGCCCCTTATCTCTCTACATAAAATGAAAAAAATTTTGTTTTGAAATGCCATACCAATTAAAAGTGCCAGACTTTGCTCCGTCAATCAATATTCAACTCACATTGTGTAATATAAGTAAAAATAAAAAAAAATGTATAAAAAATAATATGCTTGAAAATTTTGCATAAATTTATGAAAATTTGCTGCCCTTGCCAATTCTCAGTTTGCCCATACAGTAGTGCCAACCCTGTATTAAGCTACTTCATTATCAACATTAGTGTTAGGTTTTATTTATTATTATGCAAATAAAAATGCATAATTTTAATTAAAAACATGATTACAGAATTCTAATGCATCAAATACTTCACTGCAGCGGCGGCCTTATCCATTGCGAGGCTCTGGGCGGCAGATCTTTGCGAGGCCCTTGTCCTTTGTGCAAAGTATGTGAATTGAAATAGTAGGCACTTATTAATATTAATATATACTGTACTATAAATTAAATTTATTTTATTGTNAAAAATGATAAAATGAAAATTTAATTTTATCATAACGAGTTTGCTTGAATTTCGTTTCTTCTGAGATCGCAGCAATGCGCGACGGGTAAGCTAGTCGTTAATAAAAAAGTATTAAAAATTTATGGTGATAATTTAAGTTTTGTGGGTCCTTGACATCTGGGGCCCAGACCTTAAGCAGAGTTGCCAGATTGGGCTACAAGTAGCGGATTGGGCTACTTTTTAAGTGCCCTCGCTACAAAAATTTCAAATTGGGTTAGTGATAGTTATCTTCAGGCTACAAATCTTAAAAATACGCTACTTTTTTATTTTCATATATAAAATCGCAACACATTTTTTGTATTATACAAAACTAATAAAGTATTATTTAATTTAAGTACACTTAATTGTATAAATAAAGTTGCAACATTTAACAAAGATAAAGATATTTTGCTTCCGTTTTCCATCCGTAGTTCGCTCCAGAAGACAATCCACAACTTCACAAGCACGGAGGCGACCTTGCTTGTAAAATTGTGGATTGTCTTCCAGAGCGAACGACGGATGGAAAACGGAAGCAAAGTATCTTTATCTTTGTTAAACGTTACAACTTTATATTTATTTATACAATTAAGTGTAATGAAATTAAATGTATACCGTCGGCATTGTTTTTATATTTTTTATTTTACTTAAAGTTTTGTTCAATATTTCTATTTGCAACGAACGATAGTTTTACTGAAACGTAACATGTTCGATACTCGTTGAATTCTTTACTACTTTTTAGTACTGAAACAAGTATTAAACGAGTATCGAACTTGTTACGTTTTAATAACTTTAGATCTGGCAACCAGCGGCGGCCTTATCCATTGCGAGGCCCTGGGCGGCAGATTTTTGCGAGGCCTTTGTCCTTTGTGCAAAGTATGTGAATTGAAATAGTAGGCACTTATTAATATTAATATATACTGTACTATAAATTAAATTTATTTTATTGTTATAAATAATAGCCAAGAATAAAATAAAAAGTTTTAAATATCAACTTTTTTCTACTTGGTTGTTCGAGGCCCCTCCAAGAGCGAGGCCCCGGGTGATTGCCCTGCTCGCCACCCCCTAAGGCCGCCACTGCTTCACTGTACATAAGCATAGTGAAGTATTTGATGGATTAAAAACAGCATCAACATAGAAATACAATCCTTTTCAATCTTTGTGATCAACAGGCAAGCAAGGGATTTAGCAGAATTTAAAGGAAAAAATCTATGTAAAAACAAAGCAAAATAAGTGACTTCTTTCAAAAAAACATCTGAAATCATCCTGCCCTGATAATTTCAGATAATTGGCACTCTACTGTACTATGATATTTATGAAACCATTCATTCATTGATAAAGAATATAAATTTAGTAAATTTTTCAATTTATTGAAAGACGATAAATTTTTAAATATGTCTTTTTCTAACTTATTTAAAAATTACATATGTTATATATTTAATGAAATTTGTGATGTAACTGCAATTAAAAGAAGTTATTAGTAGTATAGGTATTACATGAATTGCAACAAACTAAAAATAAATTTTTTAATAAAATTGTTTCATAGAACGTATCATCAAGATTAAAATAATGAAATATACAGGAAGAGTTTCATTTATATAATAATAAGTGAATAATTCATTTTATATACTAATATATCGATTAACAAGGAAAAAATTGAAAGTTGTAAATTCACTGCAATATGGAAGAGAAATTATCATCAATATCAAACTTATTCTTGAAATATGTTTAAAATCATCTTAATTGTAATAACTTAATAAGTAAAAAACACCCGTGTAAATTTCTAGTATTGGCAGTTCTTTATTTATTTTATTTTAGATAAATATAATGTTAAAAAAAAAATATATATATATATATATATACAGTAGAACCTCGATTATCCGGACTAATTGGGGATGAAGGTAGTCTGGATAAGGAAAAATCCGGATAATCGAAACAAATACTTTAATTTGTCTTTTAATGATAATACAACACGTTTTCTTTTCGATGACAT